TGGACTGGCACTTGGCTGCCTCGTAAATCATCCGGCTCATCCCCAAGTACAGTCTGGGCACAGGCACTGTGCTTTGCTGTTGGGTGTCAGAACAAAAGCTGCTCCTGTGAGAACAAGCCTCTCTCCTGAGCGTCCTGTTTGGCTTCTCTCCCTGGTGAGTAGTACCTGTCTGCTTCTCACCAGCCTGAATGATTCATCATTCCAGCAGTGGGACGATCGTTTCCTTCTGTGTTCATGTGTGTTCTATGTCGCTGCTCCTGGTTTGCCACCTGCATTTTTGCCAGTAATTTCTACACTCAATTCCACATCTTTGTCCAAGGAATCAACTCCCAGAGTCCAGCAAAGGAATCGATATGGATCCTTTTCTTTTGGGTGCAGAAGAATGTAAATTCCTCTGCTCCCTCTCTGGGTAGATTTGCGTTTTGTGTTTAATTGTGGCAGGAAGGGAGACAACATGTACTGAGCGCTTTGCGAGCAAAGGTACTGGGGCTTTGCACATGTCATCTCAATTCATCTTTTCAAAAACCTTATGGGGTGTAATTTCCTGTTGCTTAAAGATCCTCATCTTTCTGAGATTCACAAAGGTTCAGAAACCTGCTGTGGGACAAGCATGCCATAATCAAACTATGATTATGAGCCAAGCCTATCTTTAGTCTCATGCTGCCTTCAAAGTGCTTGTGTGTGTGTGTGTGTGTGTGTGTGTGTGTGTGTGTGTGAGAGAGAGAGAGAGAGAGAGAGAGAGAGAGAGAGAGAGAGGGAGAATGCGTCATTCCTTGGGTAGCACTAGAAAAAGCAGAAAATTTGAGCCTAACACTTTTAACACCGTGTTTACTGACCAGCTTCAATATATATGTTAGAGTGAGGATGCCTTTAGGAATTGAGATGAGGTCTATGTAGTTAGATTAAAAAAATCGAAGATTTGAAACCTGCCACCAGTTTGTCTTCTTTTGCTGGATTTTTGCTCTTGGCTGTAAGTCTTTTAATGGGGAAGAGCCCTCTCCAGGTCTCTGTCTATTCTTATTAAAAGAAAGGATGGCATTAAAATTTTGTAGGAGAGGGGGTGGATTAGAGTCTCCTTTATGATTAGTGACAAATGCTTCTAATGAGACAATAACCTCATTTCCCTACTCGTTAGGTAGAAATTAGTTCTGTTGAGTGGTTTCTTTGTTTTATTTTATGCAAGGTGGAAGTTGGGTAAGGACGCATGGATTTTGTTGCATTCTGGTATCCAGGTAAACAGAATATCTGGACATACATGAAGCGTTTCTGACTGATGCATCAGTTTCCTATTACTGCTCTAACAATTTGCCACAAACTCAGTGGCTGTAAAATACCCCACAAATTTATTGTCTTACAGTTTTGGAGGTCAGAAGTCTGAACTGGACCTCACTGGGTTAAAACCAAAATGTTGGCCTTCTTTCCAGAGGTTCTAGAGCAGAAACCGTGTCCTTGCCTTTTCCGGCTCTAGCAGCCACTTGCATTCCTCGGCTTATCTTCTTCCCTCTTCCAAGCCAGCAGCGTAACATCTTCGAATATCTCTCTGACTCTGACTTTTCTGCCTCCTTTTCCACATTCAAGGGCTCATGATTACATCGGACCAACCCAGACAATCCAGGATAGTCTCCCTATTTTAAAGTCAACTGATTAGCATTAATTCCATCTGTAACCAAAACTCCCCCTTGTCATGCGCCATAACATATTAATAAGTTCTGGAGATTAGGACACGGACTAACCTCTTTTGGGTCATTATTCTGCTTACCACATCTGACACATAGGTGTGTTTTAACTTGACAGGAGAACCCAGAAGGGAGATGAAAACTTGAGAAACAACTAATATCTCACTTCTTTTGGAAACTTTTGATAATAGCCTCCACAGTTTGTTATGGGATGAGTGCTATTAATATTATGTTGCCTAGGCAGGAAAGAGGGCTTGATTGGGAAGGAATTAGACAATATATATTTCGAATATAATTTCGGATGATGTTGTCACTTAAGCTGCTCTATGTTATTAATAGCAGTAGACAATAAAGTATAAATGAATTTGCCTAAAGTATTTTCTAGTAGCCAGATTGGTACTTGCCTTCTCAACATCATCCTCCCACAAAGGGGAGGATGACATGAAGTCTAAACGACATTAAATAGAAACCTGCCATCCAGGGAAGCTAGAACAGAGAAGTCAGCAAGGGTGAGAGGGGAGAGGGAGGGTGAGAAAGAGGACGGATATGCAGGAGAGACACAGGTTTTGCAGGATCTGTAGAAACTTTTAGACAGGGGAAGTCACATTGAAATACAGGTTTTAGAAAAGATTTCTGGCTACAGTAGAGAAAATGGATTGATAGAATCCAGAATTTCTTAGGGACCCTCTACTTAATTCAAACAAACAAACAAAAAAATATTTGTTATTAAAACAAATAAAAAAACCCGTGCTTTAAGGAATACAATACAATTCTTTGCATCCTTTTAGTTGAAAAGGCCGCTTCTCATCTGCTATTTAACAACGGATGTTGAAGTCAAATCTTGTAACAGTTGCTGTGCCATGACTAATGATTTAGACCACGCACCACAGAAACTTTCTGAGGCAATAACGTGGCTGAAACGCCTTTTTCCAGTCTAGGCCTCAGTGCCACAGGGGCAAGAATTCTGCTTTGTCAGTGAACCAAGAAATGCTGGCTCTCATTAACATTCACCTCCACAGTAATGTTTCTTGCTTCCTTATGTTCCAACATATAGGGAAAAATATGAGAAACAGGTTAAGTTTCCCACTTTCTGAAATAAAACATGTATCTTTTTAGAGATTAAAAGAAGCAAACTGCACGTATCCTTAACATTGCTGGCTTTACCTTCCCCTAGGTGTTGCTGAAAACATCAGACTCAAATCATGATAGCAACAAGAAGAATTTCTCTGGTGAGGAAATAGACGATGAAGACAGTGTGATTTTGACATTGGTTCCAGTTAAAGATGAGTCAAATCTAAAACAACAAGTGGAACCAACTGTTTCTTCAACTTCTGATGTCAAACCGAACAAGCCCAGGAAACACGATGAATGAAGTTCATCCACCTCTGACAAATGAACAATTGAAAGCTCCCCCAAAAGCTAGATGTAAAATGCCAGTTCTTCCCTTGCCAACCGTTTTGCCTCCCATTAATAATGTGTGTTGAGACCCTTTGCAGAACAGGTGCCAACAACTCAATTTGAGTACTGCTGGCAAGTAAATAGAAGTTTTTCTGAGGCTTCAGCAGCACGCTTATCCTGAGCAGAAACATGATATTCCTGAAACCTCAAAGGAGACCAGATTATGGTCCTATTCAAGGAGACACAAGGCAGGGACCAAGAGACCAAGGCTGCAGGAAAGTCACAAGATGAATGAGAAAGCAGGAGAGACGGATACAGTTGAAGTGGTAACATCAGCTCAGGCATCTGCATGGGCATCGTGGGCAAGGATTGCTGCGAGAGCTGCTCAGCCTAAGGCTGTGAATTCACGTTCCATTCCTGCCTCTGTTGAGGCCTTTTTGATGGAAGCCTCTGGCGTCAGGTGGTGTGTGGTCCATGGCGCAGCTCTCTCAGCAGACACTGAGGAGGGTTGGGTTCACCTGCAGTTTCGTGCCGGTCAGGCCTGGGAGCCTGGCACTCCCAGGAAGATGATTTCTCTCTTCCTGTTACCAGCCTGCACTTTCCCATTCCCAGGCCTAGGAGATAATATGTTATGCCCTGACTGTGCTAAGAGGAATAAAGAAGATAATGAAAAGATTAATGACAATGGGAAGAAGTAACCTTGTTTGAACACAATGTAGGGTACCAGAATATGCCACCTCAAAATCAATATTATTTTAAGCTGAAAGCAATTGAGAAGAGACAGATAGAAGAAAAACTCTCTGCCTTCCCACTATTTGCCAAAATGCAGGGCAAAAATTTATAAAAGTCTCTCATTGCCTCTCTAACTGGAAGGACAAATGGTGGAGAGCCCATAAATTGAGTTACATCCCAATAATTGCTGTGCTGTGTCCTAACCATCCCAAGCATCTCCTGTTGCCTGGAGTACAGATTTACAAAGTATTTAGCTATATAGAGTACAACTTGGTTTTGTTTTAATAGATTTTCTTTTTTTTGAGCACTCGCAGGTTTATAGAAAAATTGAATGAAAAGTACAAAGTTCCCAAATACTCTCATATACACTCTGCTGAGCTTCCCCTCCAATTTCCTGTATTATTAACATCTTGCAATTACACGATGGTACATTTGTTACAACTGATAAGTCAGAGCCGGGCATGGTGACCAGCAACTATAGTCCCAGCTATTAGGGAGGCTGAGGCAGGAGGACTGCTGGAGCCCAGAAGTTCCAGGCTGTAGTGTGCAGTGACCACACTTGTGAATAGCCACTGCACTGTAGCCTGGGCAATGTAGTGAGACATTGTCTCTAAAAAAAATTTAAAAAATTGATAAGTCAATATTGATACCTTATTATTAACTAAAGTCCATAGTTCATATTAGATTTCATTATTTGTGTTGTATATTCCATGGGTTTTTGACAAATGTAAAATGACATGTATCCAACATAGTATGTTGAATAGTTTCACTGCCCTAAAAATCCCTGTGTTCTACCTATTTATCCCCCCTCCTCCCATCCCCTGGAAATCACAGATCTTTTTACTGTCTCCATAGCTTTCCCTTCTCCAGAATGTCATATACTTGAAATCACACCGTGTGTAGCCTATTCAGATTGGCTTTCATGTAGCAATATACATTTAAGGTTCCTCCATGTCTTATCATGACTTGGTGACATTTCTTTCTGATACTGAATAACATTGCATTGCATGTTCAGTTTGTTTATTCATTCACCTGCTCAAGGACATCTTGGTTGGTTCCAAGTTTTAGCAATTTTTATATGAACAAAGATGGTGTAAACATTTAAAGATATATCTTTTTAATTGACTGCTAAAAACGGTTATTTCAACGTAATATTGTCAATCATTCTTCATCTCCATTAGAGAGAAGAGGAGCATGAGGCCTGAGAACCAGAGCAGCATGTCTGAGTTCCTCCTCCTGGGGCTCCCCATCCCCCCAGAGCAGCAGCGCGTGTTCTTCCTCCTGTTCCTGGGCATGTACCTGACCACGGTGCTGGGGAACCTGCTCATCATCCTGCTCATCCGGCTGGACTCCCGCCTCCACACCCCCATGTACTTCTTCCTCAGACACTTGGCCCTCACTGACGTCTCCTTTTCATCTGTCACTGTCCCAAAGATGCTGATGAACATGCAGACGCAACACCTATCCATCCCCTATGCAGGGTGCATAGCACAGATGTATTTTTTCATATTTTTTACCGACCTGGACAGTTTCCTCATTACATCAATGGCATATGACCGATATGTTGCCATATGTCATCCTCTCCACTACACCATCATCATGAGGGAAGAGCTCTGCACCTTCTTGGTGGCTGTATCTTGGGTCCTGTCTTGTGCCAGCTCCCTCTCCCACACCCTTCTCCTGGCCCGGCTGCCCTTCTGTGCTGCTAATGCCATTCCCCATTTCTTCTGTGACCTTGCTGCCCTGCTCAAGCTGTCCTGCTCAGACATCTTCCTCAATGAGCTGGTCATGTTTACAGTAGGGGTGGTGGTCATTACCTTGCCATTCTTATGTATCTTGGTATCTTATGGCTATATTGGGGCCACCATCCTGAGGGTCCCTTCGACCAAAGGGATCTGCAAAGCATTGTCCACATGTGGGTCCCATCTCTCTGTGGTGTCTCTGTACTATGGGGCAATATTTGGGCAGTACCTTTTCCCAGCATTAAGCAGTTCCATTGACAAGGACATCATTGTGGCTCTCATGTACACTGTGGTCACACCCATGTTGAACCCCTTTATCTACAGCCTTAGGAATAGGGACATGAAAGAGGCCCTTGGGAAACTCTGCAGTAGAGCAACATTTTTCTCACAGTGACATCTGACTCTTTAAAAAACACAATCTCGTTTTAGTTGATTTCATTTATTTGATTTTCCATTTGAATGTGTCTCAAAACCCTAAGACAAACGATGGCATGTCGGATGCACTTAGTAAATATTTGTTGACCAGAATTTCATTTTCTTATTAATAATGTTTTCCTTTGTAAATAGCTTTTGGTCTGTAAATGCTAAATTAATTTTATTACTTATTTCTGCCACTTGGGGAGGGGCATAAATAATACAATAATATACAGTTTTGTTATCCCTTATTTGAGGAGATTTTTGGAGATACATCTATTTTTGGCCCATAATCCTAGGCTTTAACACAACACAGGATCTAAAGAATTAGCCACATTATTTTACTATTCTCTCTCATGTGGACTAAGTAGATTTTCTTTTTGTCTTTATGGGTCTGCTGAACTAAAAAATAATTCAAACTTCTTGCCACTTACGTAAGAGGAAATGTATTACTCTCTGTCCATGGCGTAAAATGATACAACAGCTCTGAAGACTGAGGGACCTGTTGGAGATTGAGACTTCCCAAGAGACTCCCCCTTTGCCAATGCTGCATGGTTGGTATTGCTTTGCTCCCATATTCGATCTTTTTTTCTTTTATTTGTTTTCATTTTTCTTTTTTTTTTAGACAGAGTCTCACTCTGTTGCCCGGGCT